CAAGAGTTAAGTTGTGTCGAGTGTGACTGAAGGGGGCGAAGGGGGCTCTGAAGGGTCTAGGGGGGTATATGGGGGTCTAAGGGGGTCTAAGGGGATCTGAGGGGGTCTAAGGGGATCTGAGGGGTCTGAGGGTCTGCGGTGTTCTTTGTGTGCTGACTGCACGAATTTAAAGCTGCCACACACTCTGCCAAACTGCTTTTTGACTTCTTGCAGGGGGGCAGCAGGAAAGGCAGCAGTCAGCTAACCAGCTGATTACTTTGGCATTTGTTTGGGCCCACCACAGCGGTGAGAGCGTTGTGGGGGGGAAACTCCCTCCGAAAGGGAAAATCCTTACGGGTATCCTTCGAATCCTTGAAACGTGGAGAGTTGGGAGACACGACGGCTACTGGGCGTCATGCTTTATTTATTGGCCGGCTACGATGTCATAAAAGTCATACCAAAACAAAGTAAAAAAACCAAAAAAAGAAACAAAGTAACCTTTTCGGGGGAAGCCCCAATAACGGGCGACACATTAGCCGACACTCTGGCTATGAGACAGCGACAATGACATCGCAAAGTGCCCTGTCATAATAATAATAGCAACAACAAACACGGCGCAGGGCAACAACCATAACAATTAAGCTATATCAAATTGAAAAAGTTACTTTTTGTCTCGCAACCTGTCATTACCACGGGAATATAAAAAAGATTGTCGTTGGGGGAGGGGTCGCCAAATGATGATTAAGCAAAATGCGCCTCGATGTCAGCATTATAGATCAAAGATACAAGCACGGTGAAAAATGATGCATATATTATGGAATCTATTTTTATTGCTTATAAAATAAGTTAATTTGGGAACAGTCCTAGAAAAATATGGCTAAAGTCCATACAACAGGTGTCTAAAAGTAGGCTAAATAAATTTGTGTTGTATTTCTAACAGATTATGTTTTTAAAATTAGTTTTCTATAACTGTTATTGTTTTTTAAAAGAGTTTGGAATTATATTAATAGATATTTTCTAAGATCTGCCTTAGTTGCTGTTTTAAAAAATCTAGTTTTAGAAATACATATTACAAATCACTTCATTAGATGTCTAAAAGTATGCTACATATTTTGAATTTTGTTCTTACATGTACCATTTCTGAAGTTCCTTTTCAGGAGTTATAATATTAGTTTTTAATAGGTTTTCACAGATGCTATAAAGAGAAAATCAAAAATTTAATATTTTAAAATCACTTTCTTAGACATTATTTTTTTCTCTGCACAATCGTTTACACATAAACATATTCACGTTTATGCCTTCACAATGGCTTTGCCCTTAGCCCTGTTTTATGGCCTAGCAAAGCGTAAATCAACGCTAATTAAATAAAAAATTGCTGAGCTATGGGTGAGAAATGGGGTAATTGACTCGCCCTTTTAGTTCGTTTACCAATATTAATACAAAACTTTCTCATTAAGTGTCATAATACGGTCGAGCAAATGTCAAAACCAACTTTTTGTCGGGCCAGAATGACTTTCAGAGTCGGGGTCCTTTTTCCCCCCAGTCCCTTCGCATTCGAGAAGTCTCGCCAGAAGTCCCGAAACAAATACGTTTTTAATAAAGCGCATGAGTTGCATACAACGATTGCGATTGCCGCACTAATGAAAGAGTTAATTGAATTTTGTGCGCGTGTGTCCACAAAGTATTGGTTGCAAGGCAGCGACTGCAAATATGATTATAATTATTAATTAAATCGGTATTGTGTTGCACTCAGCGGTGGGTTTTTCTTTAAACTCGCTCTCTCCATCTCACAACTTTTCGCCAATTCCGGAAAAGTGTGAAAAATACGAAGGAATGCGGGTGGTGCAGGATTAATTGCAGTTCAACTGTTTCAATCGAGAGGTTTTTAATATCGTTTAGTGGTGAATGAAATTCACTTTCAAAATGAAAATAAAAAAAAGCACATATTCTTTTATTAAACTTCAAACGCAATATATTTTATCTCTTTAGAATATGAGCTTTAGAATATCCAAAAATATTTTCAAAGTATATTATAGTAACTGAATTTCTTAAATGAGTTTAGATAAAATTGAAATTCCTATTTTCTTATTGGTTAAATTCACAGCTTTTCCTGAAAATACCTAAGCTTAAATCCTTTCGATAGATAGAGCTGAGAACTTCTTAGAATTCAATGAACACAATAGGTTCACTGCTTCAGGGTTTGACTGGCTAACATTTGCACTTGTTCCGGCCAAGTTGAAGCATGCCACATAGCCTTTTCAAAGCGTATTCAGGGATTTGGGCTTATTATTCACAAGATGGCAGCTTGACCATTTCCTGGTCCGGTCGATTGGCCAGTCGCCGTTATCTCCGGGCTTTGGCTTCCAAGAATCTATCCAACTGCCCAAGCTCCTTTCTTGACCATTGCCTTTTATCATTAGTTTCTATTTGAGTTAAGCTCTACTCCAGTGGCCGGGCATTTAATTAACTCAACTCAAAGTTTGAATTTGACTTGCGTAAATTAATACATTGGCCATGTTATTGGCCTCCTGTTGAACTTGGGAGGCCAAAAGACTGGGTACCACAACTATGCCTCAATCTCATCCCTATTTTCGACCCGATTCGTATTACTTGGCATCTTTGGATGAGCTGACTCTCTGGCTTTTTGGGGAAAAACTTCATTTACCACCGAACCCTTATCAACTTTCGCCACTGCGAACTGCGTTCAGCTAACTTTGCTTATAAATTTCATTCGAGTCATTTGTTGACACACAGATACACCCGCACACAGACAAGGACTCATCGAACACAGATACGCACGCAGACAAATGCACACAATACAAAAGTCGCAAGTCGCGGAAATCGCGAAAAGTTGTTGAAGTTATCTGGGCAACGCAATTTCTTGTTCTCGTTCCGCTGCCATTGTTTATAGTTCGCCTTTGTATTTGTAAGTTTCGCCCGAATGTGCAAATAGAATTAAAATGCGACGGAGACGGAACTAACCCAATTCTGATTTCTCATTGCAGGGGTCCTTTGTTCGACGTGATTGTTGAGGGTCTTCGATTGGGGATATTGGCCAGGGGAAAAAGGTTATATTAGGGGAATCAAATTAAATACCAGTTACAGAAATATTTTATTTCTAACCTTAATGGAAGCAATTTAAGAGATTAATAAAGGTTTCCATTGATTTTCTGTTTTATATTATAACTAGGGGACCCCAAAATGTACCTTAGAAAGTAAATATACAGTACTAAAAATGAAATGATAATAAATTTTAAAAGAGTCATTACTGTGGATTTTGCTGAGTGTTAATTTTTATTTTTAAGTGGGTAATTTATAATTATTTATATATTTTTAGAGTTCACTTGGTAGTTTAAAAAAGTTCTATAAAGAAAATCCTCGCAATAAAATAGAACCCACAACTTGAAACTATTGCTTTAAAATAGTAATAGGTAGGATTTACTATTAAAAACCAAATCCCTCTGCCTGGGGAATTTAGTTTCCCGTAAACCCACCAGACATAAGCAGCTTACTGGGTAGCAATTAGTTGTGCAACCCCTATTCAGCCCTTCACCCTTTACCCTCTGCACTTGTTAATCGGGCAAAAAGAACTCGACGACACCCACAAACAGCGGGCCATGACTTTCCTTTATGACAAATATATTCATTTCATACTCGTTCAAAGGCAACAAATCGCGTGACACGCTGACAGCGGTACTTGGCTTTGTTTTACTTGTTTTTATTGTTTTTCTGGTTTTTCTTGTTGCGGTTGTTGAGTGGAGAGTGTAAAACTCAACTATTGTCTTCATTTTTCTTGCAAATCATGCAAGGCAATCTAAAATGTTGACACATTGGCAAACACATACCCGTCGACAGGGGCACACATCGACACATCCTGTAGAACATAGTATACATATATACCAAACATATATGAAAGGGAAGTGAGTACTATACATATAGACCAAGAAAATAAAGGCATCCGGCGCCTTTTTTGCCCTCTGTCACTCAAGTTCAAGGTTCACACGCTGTCGGTTAAGGTTACGCTTTTATGTGTATTATCGCTGAATTGTCACAAGTCTACGCTTTGTCTCGCAACGAGCGCTTTGAAAAATTACAATAATTGTTATTTACGCATATCTGAACATGAAATGTGTCAATTGGCAACCAGCGAGCTAGCAAAGCGAACAGAACGCAACAACGTGGCGTATGCGTAATGTGTGAAAAGGGACACAAGGTCTGGCAAATGAATGGCCGAATGGGTGTGTTTCAGGGTGTTTGCGGGTGTTTGCGACGAATGTCAGACAAGTGCTGTCAAGCCTTCATAATTCGGTTCATAAAGCGATTTAGGTTTAAGCATAAAGAGGGTGTTTGGAGTCCTGGTCAAGCCACAAAGCCAGATTAAGCAATTTTTTCCGAACTTGTACTCGACTTGAGTAGGTTTAACAGGCTGAATGTGCTGCCTTTACACATTGATTTTCGTATTCAATTTTTCTGATATTTTTTTATCCAGTTTTTTAAGAATTTTATTGGCTTTCATTGGCGAGCTTTAAATTAAACGCTGCTGGTATTGAACAGAAATTAAAGAATTTTTTGTGTGAAAATGATTTTAAAAAATGTTAAGCCGCTTTAATAGCATTAATTTATCAGCATGATGGTTAATCAGCTTGCTTTATATACATAAAAATATAGTAGAAAAAAGGGTATACCATATTCATGTTATATTTGTATTTCTGCCTCCAAACCAAATTGATTGCTTCATCTAAATCGTCTAAATTGTTAGAACCTTTTTTTGTCTTTTCATATTTTTTATGGTTGCTTTTTAATAAATCCATTTATACAGCCCTCAATTAGCGCGCTTTAAATCAAACGAAAATGGTGTTGGCATTAAATTCAATCCACATTGACCCCTCATATAAATAGGAAACAGCGACGACTCTTTGACTGGCAGTTGTGTGCGAGGCAGTGACGCGGTTTGTCGATTGAATTAAATATAAATATCATATTTTCAGCGTTGAATTTTAAATATATTTAAATATTTAAATATGCTGTTGCTGCTGGCGGTGGTGCAGACGATTCTGCTGCTGGGCACGCACTTGAGTGGCGCGTCGGCTGTTGACAAGGATGTGGCACCAGTTGGCGATGTAAAAACGGATTTGCTGTCATTGGAGCAGGAAATGGGCGGCTCTTCCGTGTGGAATCTGCATCCGGCGGTTTGGCGGGGTCGTCGAAGAAGGCGTGGCATCTTCTTTAGCGGCGGCATCACCGGTTATCCCTTCCTCAACTGGGCCAATGGTTACCCATGGTCTGGCTATCCTGGCTATAACTACTACGGCTACTATGGCCAACAATCGCCTGGTTACTATGGCTATGGCAGTGGCTACTATCCCGGTTATCTGGGCTTACAGAAAATTATCATCGGCTAATGTGGATTTTTTGATTAGAAAAACCTTTTCAATTTGTGAGATTATAAATAATGCCCAGGCAGCAGCACCACCAACGACGACCCTTTCGCAGTTTGTTATTTCACTTATTGTTGCTGCTTTTAAATTAATTTGCCGGACACAAAAAGTTGAGGGAAGTTGAAGAGGGCAGCAACATGAAATTGCACAATTTATATTCATTTTTAAGGGGCACACAGATTTTGCATAAATCATTTTCGCAGCGACCAAAATGAAACGCGTAACATAATTTTTAACCCTTGATAATTTTTTATGACAAGCATTTTCGTTATTTTCCCTCCACGGTGGGCCGCCGCGAAATGCAAATAAAGCGGATCAAAAGTTTGCTGTTAAAAGAAGATTAATTGCAATTTGGTGGCAAGACCTGGAAACATTTCGAACCCAACTCCACAATTTTACCCCATCTCATCCAACCCACGAAATCCCCCAGACCATTCGCGGGGTGGTTGGTAATTAAATATTTTTAAGCTGTAAATGGTTTCCATTTGCCTGATGCTGTGTTCTTATTTTGTATTTGCAATCAATAAAATTCATTAAACGCCCAACAATAACAGCCAATAACAACGGCAACAACAAGGGCAGACAAAAAAGGGAGCAAGTAAAATGTAAAATCAAATAAAATACATTCCTCGATGGTCTTAGTTTCAATTGCCACTCGGCAGTTGTAAATTGTTCTTCTATAAGTGCTGTCCTGCAGTTGTTGCAGTTTTGCAAGTGGCCATTGTTTATTCATTCTGTTCTATAATCATTTTATTGCCGAGGTATGCTGATTTTTTAATCAATTTACATAATTTATGTATTTTTTATGAACTTCACTCCCAACGGTGGCTGAATGGCAAAACGTATTCGGTTTGTGAATTGTTAAAGCGCAGGGAGTGTTTCAGTTTTGATAGTTGATCTGCTATATTATTGAATTATCCCCGAACAAGCAGTTGTCACGTTGTAAATCATTAAAAATTAATTATTGATTCAACAGGGCTTTATTTACAGCGATGGCGATTTTATCTCGAAAGTTACAAATATTTTCATAAATTAGCGTAAATGGTGTTTAATTTTCGCTCTCCGAATTGCTGAAATTATAAGCTTAATTATTTGGTTATCTGATTTAAATATTTGCAGCATTTGCTTTTAATAATATTTAAAAAAAATCATAAATACGTTATACTAAAATTATATAACTCGTTTTTTATAAATTTTTCACTTATGTTTTGTAGAGGAATACATTTTTTAATGACAGAGCTAAGCTGATTTAAAGATAATATTTTAAATATATATTTAAGTAGGATTCGCATTTCTAGCATTATTGTTATAGTGTTAGACATATTTTTGAGTAGCTTTCTAATTATAAACAAAAAATCGGGTTTAAATTACTCAATTCCAGGTAAATATATGTTTTTTTTAGTTTTCCTGAAAAGGAACCCGAATTTCAGTTAATGAGTATTTTGGGAAATTTAAAAACTATAATTAAGTGGTTCAGCAATTAGTAGATCACACGTGTTTCAGTGTTCAGGCCCACACCCGGAAATTCCATTCTCGACTTAACCTTTTTTTGTTAACCACCTGTAATTAATAGTTTCGAACTGACCACTTTTTTGGGCCGGTGATACTGAGAAGGCGGTCCGAATTGAGGGTATTCGAAATTTTAATAGAGCTGTCAGTGCCTGTGCCACCGCCACTTTTCCAATTTTCCACTTTTCCGAGTGGGCGGAACGACCTCCAGCTGGCCTTCCTGCCTTCCTGCCGTCCAGTCGTCCATCCGTCCAATCAGTCATCCGGGAGCTGAGCTGCCTACTCCGGGCACTTGTGCCCATTGTGCTTGCTTTTCATAATTGGAAAGAGGTCAAAACCAGCGAACCTCATTAAAAATTGAATTGTTTAATTTTCATTTGATTTAATTAAGTTATTTGTTGGTCAATTAACCTTTTTTCCGCTGGTCGCTGTTCCGTTTGCCATTGTTGTTGTCTGACATATCAATACAATGTACTATGGAGTATATATGTAGTACATGTATATATATACCATCATCGGATGCAGTTGTTTGTGCTGACATTATATTGTTATTGTTGTGATGATTGCCCTTTGCCCCGAGGAGTGGGCACTTTTTAATGCCTACTTGCAATTATGTGTGCTGGGCTGGTTGGCGCCAACGTGTTGAAATTTATTAATTAAAAATACTTTTCAATTAAAGTTAATGCGCTCAGCATTTATGTAATTCTATGTGTAAATACGCTGTAAACTCTTGAAACAACATATTATGAAAATACCGTGGCCAGCCAATTAAAGGGGTTTTCCTCTCTTCTTTTTTTTTTATGGGCTTAAAGCCCATGTCCGTTTGCCATCCGTTGCGATGTCAAGTGTCTAAAGGCCACTTTTCTTTTTTAAGCCTTTTTTGTTATGGCCACGGTTATTTTTCACTTAGCACTTAGCGAGCGGCTTAAACTGCAACTCAACTCCGGCTCAGCCCAACTCAACTCCGCCGGAGTCTGTAGACCGGAGTCCATAGTCTATCTCATTATGCTTAAATGCACTTGCAAAGGCTGGGGGTTCTGAGCTGCTCACAGGGCGATAAACAATATTCATGATTATGAAAACTTGTGCGGCGTTCGCTTTCGCACTTGAAATCTGTGAGTAGCGAGGGTGGATTGCACAGATCAAGGGCTAGAGTAAAGTACTTTTAATTTAAATCCTTCGTCCTTTGTTCTGGGCCAAGGGGCTATGGCAGGCTTCTATTGTGGCATACTTTTTATGAAGAGTCTTGGCCCCGTCAGAAGGCTAATTGTTCATATTTTAGACTAAAATAATTAAGCTGCCTTGTCATGAATAATACTTGAACAAAAGTCGTTACTTAAAGGATTTATAAGGAATAACGTGTCGAAATCTGGGGATCCTTTTAGTGTAAACTGACACAGAATATTGGTATAAAGAAAAAAGAGTTTGTAAAATATAAATACTTCTTATACACAGCAGTACATGCATTGGTATAAAGAAAAGAGAGTTGTAAAATATGGGAAAACCTATATATCATTTAAGTTACTTTTTATACACAATAGTACATGCATTTTTACAATACCAGCATAAATATAAAATCTTTATAAATGTTTAAAGTCATATAAAAATTGAGAACCTTTGGTTAATCATAAAGAAAAGTCATGATAATCTTTCAAGTACCCAATTTTCGAATAAGTGTACTTGTACGCCCACTTAAAGCTTATATTAAAGCTTCGCTTTCTATGGCTACTCCCACTCCTTGAAACCTTTGACCTTTGATGCTGGATGCCATGGCCGTTTGAATTGTACTTGATTGCCGAAATCTAAGAATCCAGGAGTACAACAATCCGAGAATCCGAGAATCGGTTTACGTTGCCAATACGCTTCGAGCTGCCCTCCTCCGGGGCGGCTGACTGGCTTTTGGGTGCCTTTGGAGGAACTCCATTAAGCGAACGCACTGGGTCGGCTTCAAGTAATCCAGAGCTGGCTATTTTCTCATCCAAAGGCTCCCGGCAATGACCACATTTACAGAAACAGATACAGATGCAGCCACAGATACAGACACAAATGCAGGAGCGGATACAGATACAGCTACAGATGCGGATGTGGATGCGGAGATACGAGTGCATGTAGATCTGCACATATATTTTTGGGCAAAGCATCGAGGACTACTGACTCCTTGCCGCAGAGGCCAACTGAAATGAAGTGTCATTGTGATAGAGCAACGGCACTGCAGCTGCATCAGTGCAGCTCAGTTCAGTTCAGTTCAGAACTAGCTGTGCAGCTTGCGGAGGATGCAAAGGATCCACGGGACAGGACAGGACAGGTCCGGACAGGACGCGACAGGACGGGACAGGACGGGACGGGCTGGGGCCAAAGGACGACCCGAAGGACTCGCGCTCTGCCCGGACGACACATTTACACGCACTGCTGCAGCTGCTGCGCTGCCTCACGTACTCGGCATTGTGACAAATGGATTTTCGCATGAAATCCCCAGGATTTCTTCAAGTGTAATTGCGCACGCTAAAAGCGAATGCGAATGCGGATGCATTTGGCGGCATTCCGCTCCCCAAAAATGTAGAAACGATAGATTCGACTAAAGGATACCCGGTGTTGAATATGATAAATATTTTTGATCTGATAACCGTAATCACAAAACCTGTATGTCTGCTAAAAGAATTGTTTCTATATTTCCAATTGTATCTTTACGAAAACACAAAAAAATGGCTAATTACACTAGCTTACAAAATAATATTTTGAAGCTGCACCAAGAATGATGATTGTAGTTCCTGGTAGAATTGATCCGATAGATCACGAAAAAAGTAAAAAAAAATGTATGAGAATAACTGTCCTTAAATGTTTTTGTTAAGAAAATGTTTTTAAAATCACCGGGTTTTTAGTTAGATCTTAAAATGCGCCTAACCAATTTAGGTGATATATGATACTAAATTATTAGAGGGTAAAAAAAAGTTAGAAATAAACAGACACAAAGTTAACATAAATGAGTCAACAATTTTCAGTTTTGGTTAAGCAATGATTCTCAGCTCATATATATAGATAAATATATATTTTATATTTTACTGCCAATATTCCAGCGGAAAAGTTCAAGTTTTAAAATCAATTTCTTTTTAATTTTCTGACAATGTTGCCTTGTGCCTAGTACCCAAATACCCTCCTGTTCATCAAGTACCTCGCTAAAGTATGCGGATTTGAGTCCACAAAATGAGCATTAAATTTCATGCACTTGGGAACGTTTATTGCTCTCGCAGGATAATTTTTCAGCGTTGGGGGCTGTCTAGGGTTTCCAGGGTTCCCAGAGTTCTTCAGTTGGCCTGCAGCATGGTCGCCCAGGTGCGACTACGGGCGCAGAAGCGGAAAACCCGGCTGAGTCGTCCCAGAACGGCGCACGGGAAGCTCAAGGATTGGGCGAGCATGTGCAGCAGCAGGCTCCATCCGTTCATGAGGAACTGCAGGGTGTCCAGAAGGTTCTCTCGAAATGGTGTACCCACAAAGAGCCGGGGATGGTACATGTATCTGATCGCCACCAGTTGCAGTTGCAGCGATAGCATCAAAAGTTCCTGGATCAATTGCAACATGGCCGCCACATTGGCCAGGTAAAGGAAGACCGCATACAGCAACATTCTCACAGGAAGGCTCAGAAATAGTCCATAGGTCACAAGTCCATTGCCCAGATAGTTGACCATTCTCTAAACTCAAACTTATGGCAGCACCACACACAGAAAAAACTCCACTCAGCAGCAGGGAACTTGAAATTCGAAATGCAAACTTCGCCTTTGGTGCGTGCTATTGCCTGCGATTGGAGTTTTTACTTGGCTTCACGTTTTTGTTTTCGATTTGCTGCCCGGCTTTGACAAATTTGTAGTAAGCTACTTTGGCAAAGGTGTCGTTCTCGTTTTATATTTTTTTTTATTTTTATATAGCGAGACAGAGTGAGACCATAGCTCCTATATCGTAAAAGTACAAAAAGTTTTTATATTGCCAAACATTACCAACCAGGGGCGACATTACGGGCCACCGAGCCACCCCAACAAATCACGCCCAGGCTATTTGCAGTGAATTGAAATTGATCAATTTGGGTAGTTAGGGGAATTGTTTGGCTTTATGTACGCTGCTGGCAGCTTTAATGGATGAATTCGCTTATGCCATCGGGACTGTCGAAATGGGTAAATTGAGGTTGCCACTCGGGGAACAGGATCTGCAGGAACACATATATGTGTACAAATATATACAGCGAGTTGAGATATGCCCTCAAATCGAATTAACGTTTGCCCTGCGGGACACGTATGATTTTGGTGGGGGGGTAAGCAGCCAAATAATTTAGACAAGTTGATAGGAATTTGACAGCTGATTTTTCGAAAAATCAATTGCAGGCGTTACATATTCCAACCGAGTCAAGTTAATTAATAAATGTATCCTAAGTTAGGATACATAGCACATTTTGTATTAATTTGATACAAGTTTGTAGAATTATTACGATCGATAGAACTATCGATACTATCGATGGCTTGTCCCGTTATCGATAGTATTGCTCAGAAAAGAATTTTAATTTTTCATGTGTTGTTCGGTTTTTTGAGTAATAAAGCTGTATTTTTAGCTATATTTAATAAGATACCACGTTAAATATTAATTTTGATCGATTTTCGTTTTATAGTTTAGGCAATATTTTCAATTGTTTTTTAATATTCGTTCGTTTCTACGCTTGCTTGTTTATTCTCTCTGATTTTCGATAGTATCGATAATATCAATGAAGGCCAGTATCGATAGCTAAGACTATCGACGGTGCCCATATCGATGGTTTCCCAACCTACCAAAAGCATATACTAATATATTATCCGATATTAATTTATCAACTTCATATTCCTGGCACCTATCAAATGTTAACTCGTTATGAAAAATAATAGTTTTAATATTCGTTGTACTCACCCATGATAAAAAGTGTGCCATAAAAATATTTGCATAGCTGTACACAGGTATTCATCAAACAATACCTTTTTGTTTTGTGTTATTTATATGGTATATTATTTTGAAAATGCTTTTAGTTCATTATTTTTTAAGAGCGTTGGAATAAATTTGCTGTTGATAGTTTGGAAGGTGAGAACTGAGTGCCAATGCAGTTTTCGGATCATAATTTTAACTGTTGATGCACCTTTTTTTGTGCTTGCTTTGTCACCGAAATAAAACCCTTCGATATCGCCGGTTAACATACCTGATACTTGTTCTCAGCCCGACAGCTGATGGCATTTGAGTTTCCAGTTGGCTGCATTTAAGCCCCGAACTGCAGTCTCCGCCGGCAAGCAGCTTACGGCTCAGTCCAAACTTTCGGCCCCTTTTCCCTTTTGCCCAGGTCTTGGCCAGTTTTAAGACCCTGCATCTCAATTTCCCACTGCCCCAGTGCCTTGTCTTTGTGCTCATCTGTCCTCACTGCATTATTTCCAATTGCTCCTCTTTGCTGGCCGAAAACGAGGGAAATAAAGAAAGATATGGTGTTAAAAAAAAAAAATGGCAGAAAAAAAAAACAAATGGGAAATACGAAAGGAGAAAATCTGCCTAATTCACAGTGAAGACCGGATTGGGGGCGGGATCAAAGGGGGCGGGGCAGTGCTTACAACGCAAATCTGCGAGCGAACGGAAATAAAGTGGAAAGTGTAATGACAAAAACCCGGATTAAGAATGTGCCGCATACAAGTTGCACACTTGTGCCTTTCTTGATGTCCGGTTCCGTTTCCACAGAAATAAGAGTTTGCACTAGAGTGGACGTTAATTTAATTTTAATTTATGCTAATATTATAATTTATTTCACTACCCAATTAATGTAATGATATTAAAATAATAAGCATTTTATACAGCTATGATTACAAAATTTAAAAAAGGTAAGGTAAGAAAAGGTCTTTTAGTAAAAACTTTAAAAAGTAGTAGAGGAACTCTTAAAAAAATGGTTGCAAATGTATGGATTCATTATATAAGAATTTACCCAAATAAAAACTTTAAAAATTGTAAATTATTATAGGATCTGTTTAAATATTTAAGAAAATAATGGTCGTACAGAAATACATTTATTTAATTTCTTCTGACAACTTTAAAAAATTCAAATCTTGAAAAAGTACTGCAAATATATGAGTTTATTATTTGAGAATTTACCCAATTGAAAAAAACTGTCCTAATAAAGGCTCTACATATTAAACCTTGTTAAAATAATTCTTTGAATATGTGAATAAATATAGTGAAAGAATGAAGTAGAGAAATATATTTATTTTCTTTATTCTGTCAACTCATAAATTGTAAAATTTTTGATACCTAAAAGAATTTCTTTGTGGGTATATTTTGTGTTCAAAACATGGTAAAGCTTAATTCCAGACAGGAGAGTGCTGAAAATGTAATACCTCGGTCCACCCAGTTAAAAACAGTATCCTTTTTCAATCCCATCTTACTCCATCTGCAACCCCACTCTATGTACGATGTACATATAAATACATAGCGACGAATATATATTTTAAGCGAGGCTTATCTTATCAAGCGACATAAAAGACGCCTTTCAGCGAGCGTCTGGCGACAATTGTAGTGGCACCGATTCGGTCCGGTTTCAGATTCAGATTCAGATTCAGATGCCGGATTCCGATTCAGCTTCAGTTTCAGTTTTAGCTAGAGCTTCGTACCCGGACTCGTTTGCTTTGGCTTTAGTTTTGCGTTGGCCAGATCTAGAGCCCGATTCGGATTTGGATTCGGAGCCAGAGGAGGAGAAAGGAGAAAGTAGTAAGGAGAAAGGAGAAAGGGGGGGGTGGCTCCTTGTCCGCAGGGCAATGCACACAGCTGGACATTCATTACAAAAACGGAAACACTCGCACAATGACAGAAGATAAATGGACCTGCACTTGTACGTGTGTCTCCTGCTCTCAATCCATCCACAGGACCCCCCCCCCCCCCCCCCCTTTCACCACCCCCTCCCTCGAGAATTTCGGTGTGTGTGTGTGCGAGTGTGTGTGTGTGCGGTTTTTATTTAGTCGCTTGTTTTATATCAACATCTAACAAACGAAAAAAGAAGAGTCTAAACAAAAAAAAAAAAGAATGGGAAGCGAAATCTTTGATGGTGGAAAATGGAAACAGCTTATACTTTTCCTTTTTTCCATACACACACTGCTTTTAGTTTAGATTTTTAATCTGTGCAGTGCTTTTTGTTGCCTTTTGTTTTATCAGCCAGCAAAATCGGCAAATGGCAAACAGCGCTTCATATTCATTTTGTTGTGTTCCATTTGCTGCCATATTTGTATTCCGATGCTGATGCTACTTTTTGCCCGCTTGTCTTTTTTGATTGAGATATTTATTATGGACATTTTTTAGCTCCTGCTATACCCGGCTATCGTGTGTTGTACCTAGTCTCGAACCCATGCGCTTGCCTTTTGGCCCAATTTCAATTTAAAACTTTAACCATTTGTTTTGCGTAGAGCGCAAATTTATCAGCTATTTTTGCGCAATTTTTTTTGGCGTCCAAGCTCGTTGCTGAGCGTTGCATTCATCAAAAAATTTTATTCCGGCGCGTTTCTAACTTGGCGGTTTTTTATAAGCGCACTTTATGTCAAAACCACAGCGACACCAACAGCAACACCAACCACCAAGCGAGAAATGCTGGCTGCACCACTAAAAGGAATGCGAAAAAATATTTATTTCCTCCCTGGAAAACCATCCCTTTCTATAAAGTTTCGGTCCCTCTGACCAGCGACAAAAGACAAAAGCAAACCGAACCGTACCATACCATACCAAAAACCAAACCAGAACTCAAACTAACCGAGCGCAAAAAATGAAAACGAAAATAAAAAATTGAAAACAAACTGTCAAGCAAGTGAAATAAATTAACAAAATGGCGCCATAAAGCTAACATATGAGCGAATACTTGATTTTTGCCACAGCTCCTCCATATAAATTTTGGAGATGAGCTCAGTGCTCTCAGTGCATCGTGGAGCTTTCTGCTTTCTTCGCCACTAACTTTTCTATTATTTAGACATATATGCCACTGACAGCGCTAGAAGATAAAGCCAAAGATGGCGGAAGTTTGTATAGAAGTAAAGTCTCGACACGTATGATACCGTGTCTTGAAAAGATCTTCGGAACAAACTTTCAGTCCCACAGCGAATTGCTTCTATTGAAAGATAATCTCTGGTTAAGTGAGTTCAAGGAAAAGTGTCACATCAGAGACAGATGCAAATTTAACTTTGCCTCACCCTCTGAATGGCACTCGAAAAGTTTTCGACTAAGTAGATTAATTAATTAAAGGAGTGCATCAAATGAAAGAGCAAACAATAAAAGCAGACAGAAATTTATTGCTCTGTTTTGTAAAAGATCGAGTAAGTGTGCACGTTAATTTTAAACTAAATTGGGTTTCATTTCTCATCATTTATCAGTATTTCCTTTGTATATATTTGTATTAGAAAAGTAGTTGATGCTTAAACAACAGTTCAAAACATTCAAGAGGCTCAATTTATTTTGCTTAGCCATTGCTTTCAAAAGATTGTCATAAATCCAAAACACGATTTTCCTATTTTTCACTTAACTATAAAAAAAGCAGATAGTTTTAAGATTTAAAAACAAAGGGGGGGCCACAGAAATTAAGGTTTTCTTATATCACATTACAATGGTGTCTAAAAGTATGCAGTGAATCAAGGAATGAAGTCTTTTTGGACAAATCCATCGG